TTGTTTTGTTGTGTGTGTGTGTGTGTGTGTGTGGAAGTAGGATTGGCAAGATTAGAAGAAAGAGAGTGGAATTTTTTTGTACCAATAAACAGGAAACATGGTCCTAAAGGGAAGCCCAACAGAACCACAAGAAATGGTTTCTGGAAGGCAACTGGTTCTGATTGCCAAATTCGTTCAACATTAGACCCATAAACTTGGCCTTTTGAGAGTCATTACCCATGGACACTGATGTGGCAAAGAGTGTGGGTGCACTCGCTTGCCACGTGGATTTTTCTGTACATGTGGCATATTTTTGAAAAATAAAATATATTTTACCTTTTTAAGTGTGTTACTTTTTTAGATAATTTTTTTCGAATACAATTTATAATAAAACTTGGATAGAACTACAATATTTAGGCTAAATTTTTCTATTTGGCTAAAAATAATAAACTTTAGTAAATCTTTTTTTGAATTTGACCTGAAAATAAAACGAATCACTTGCATTATACACTCTTTTTATTTCTTCTTTTGATGCAATGACTATTTATTTCAACTGTGTATTTTTACTTTTTCAGGTAAAATCTGTAAAAAAAAAATATATATTTTTAGAGCACCATAATTTAGAGCTATATAAAAAAGTATACCAAAAAATTAATTTCAAAATTTGTATCTTTTATAACTTTTTAGATGCCTTGACTATTTATTTCAATTGTATAAATCTTTATTTTCAGGTCAAATTCAAAAAAAAAAAATAACTAAAACTTTATTATTTTTAGCCAAATAAAAAATGTAGTTTTATCCAAGTTTTATAATAAATTATATTCGAAAAAAATTATCTAAAAAAGTAACATACTTAAAAAGATAAAAATATATTTTACTTTTCAAAAATATGCCACATAAACATAAAAATTTATGTGGCAGGCGAGTGCACCCACACTCTTTGCCACATCAGCGTCCAAGGGGTAATGGCTCTCAAAAGTCCAAGTTGAGGGAGGTAATGAAAACCACGAATAGTTTGAGGCTGTAACTAATAATCTGTGTCAAGTTTAGGGGATTTAAGGTATTTTGCCTTTAAAGAATGAATGTGTTTTTGACGTTATGGTTCACATGCACTCTCTCATTTTACCGAAAATTTTAGCTTGTTACATGAGACACCCCCTCTCAATCTAGTCCTCCCACTCTGTTCTTTTTCTTTTCCTTTTCTAGTTCTTATTTTTTTGTGACAGCGAATTCAGAATTCTTGTACTGGGAAAGGTTAAATAGAGAACTATGTTATGTTGAGGAAGAGGCAAACCCGAAAATAAAGAAGATAAAGAACATCAAATTTTAACGTGGAAAATTCTTCAAATCGAAGGTAAAAACCACGGGATCACAAAGATCCAAAAAGCTCCACTATAACAACAAGAGGGTTACAAAAGTTCTCCAAATTAGCTACACAACAAGTTCAAACACGGAGCAACAAGAGCAACAACTAATCAATTGAAGAAAGAGGAGAATCCACAAAATTGAAGCTGTTGTTCGAGGCTCAAAATCAGATTCTATGGGCCTCTAAATCCGATCTCCACCATTTAAATCAAAGACCAAGACGTTACAAATACTCAGTCAAAATTTCAGCCCGATCCAACGGTTAACGAATCGAAAAACGTGATTTGAAGTTGGCTGGTCGGAATAAAATCTACAGCAAAACAAATATTTTTCTTCTCTTTTCTCTCTTGATGAAAGCTCTCTCAAAAACCACTCTTATGTGCTTAAGTATTTCAAAGACTTGTACCAATGAGCATGGAATGATTCTCCAAGACGTTACAAACACTCAGTCAAAATTTCAGCCCGATCCAACGGTTAACGAATCGAAAACGTGATTTGAAGTTGGCTGGTCGGAATAAAAATCTGCAGCAAAACAAATACTTTTTTTCTCTCTTCTCTCTTGATGAAAGCTCTCTCAAAACCCACTCTTATGTGCTTAAGTCTTTCAAAGACTTGTATCAATGAGCATAGAATAATTCTCCAAGGTTGTCCTATTTATAGATCATGAGTGGTGCTTTCTTTTAAAGTCAAAACCCACTCAAAATAGGAATAAACCGAATCCAATTCCAAATAGGATTGGAAACCAAAAGAGAATAGGATTAGGCCATTGGGCCTTTGGCTGGACAACATGGGCATGTGCCCAACAAACTCCCCCTCCAGCCAAGGGGCCAGATGTGTCTTCAAGGGGCCAAATAACCTGATGCTTGCATCAGATTGGGAGTGATATTTATATTAGTTCTGATCTCTTGGATTGAACTATGAAACTCGGCAACAGGGAGCTAAAAATAGAAATTGGAATAGGATATAAGAAATGGTAGGCACTCTAGTATATGGTCTAGTAGTTAATAAAGTGGGTTGAAAATCATAAGATCTCAGGTTCAAATCTCAATCGAGACAAAAATACTAAATGAAATGGTAGGCACCCTAAAATTTGTGTTATTAGAAAATGACCCCGGACCCGCACAAGCTTCTCAGGAGATTCTCTATCGGATTAAATTATTCATCAAAGTCTACTGGATTGTCATACTTTTACTCTTCACGATTTCTCTACCAATCCGGTAGAGTTGATGTTATTATTACTCTACCTATCTATTAAGTTGTTTATTGAAGTCTGCCGAATTGTCATACTTTTGCTCTTCAGAAATTTTTCTACCGGATAGAGTTGATGTTATATTTTGTCTACCTATCTGTTATGTTGTTCACTCGAAGTCTACCGGATCGGCATACTTTTTTTTGGTAGTTTTAACAAAGTGTTCTTCAATTTCGATCAAACGTCCCTAAATTTGCTCCAAATGATCTCAGATTTGAAATAAAGCTTTCAAATACCAACACAAATAATCTCGAGTCGCCAATTTATTTGAATAACACCAAATCAAAAAGATCCACTTTGTCTTTTTCAACACTTTCTAAGGTCCAAAAATAGAGTTTTGAAATTTTTACAATAAATCACCAAAATATGTGTTTGAACTAAAAGTTTAAGAAAAATTTATCAACATTCAAACGATTTTAACAATAAATTGATCATTAACTTTATTTTTCACCATCAAACAATAATTTTAAGCTTCAAAAGTTCGAGAACTATGAAGTTCAATTAAAAAAAAGAAGAAGATATTTTACTAAGACCATAAAAAAATTGAGGGCATTATGCCAGGACCATTACTTTAAGGTCACACCGTGCTAATTTCCCACAATTCTTTGCATCAAATCAAATTTCATCCATAAATCAGTCACGAAATGTAAGACACATGATTGAGGCACACATCTCAAAACTGGTTGAAAATACTTGTTATTTTAGAAAATTAAGATATAATTAACTAGTTTGTTCTATTTTGTCCTTATTATTAATAATTTTTGAATGTTAAAATATTTATTAGATAGCATACAAAATCCAAAACTGAAAAATAATAAGGGTAAAGTAGTTAAAAAGCTCTTCTCGTTAATACTCCCTCCAATCCACATTAATTGATTTTTTGTCCTTTTTTGTGGTCCACAATAATACTGATTTTTTAGATATCAAGAAAGAATTAACTTAAATTAAGGCTAATATGATCAATTTGATTATTAATTAATGTGAAAAGTTGAATTCCTTTAACATGTGTGAAAATAATAAAAAAAATCAATTAAGGTGGACCGGAGGGAGTAATCTGTTAAGGAACATATAGAGAAATATGCATGACAACTAAAATAGACAGAAGGGAATCTAAAAAGAAATTATTTCTGATAAAACAAAAAATTCACCATTCACTTCAATAGAAAATGTAAAACAAACTTGAATACGCCGTCATCTCATACTTGATCAAGGATCAACTGAATACAAAGTCCTACTAAACTTAGTGCACCTCTAATAACATATTTGCTATTCTAATAGCAATAGTCTTCCATCTTTGCCCCTAGCAAAGAACAATATGGAAATCACTACAAATAACGTCATTCATCTTTAAAAAATTCTTGAATGAGATCAAAGACACTGCCTTGCTTGTGGCGTATATTTTTGCTTTTGATGGAAACTAGACTCTCCTTATAACTTAAAGCCCATCTACGACCATATATTTTAGAATCAAGCAGACGTGTAATTTCATGGGTTTTGGAGTCATAGATCACAAGAGCTTAGTCTTTTTGAATATAAAATAATCTTATCATGACCCCACAAACCAATAGGGCAAGAGTTAGGTATTGTAGGTACCACATTCAGAACTTTAGTCCACAACCTTTCGTTGCTCATTAGCCATACATCAATTTCATATGCAAAAATAAAGTCATTGATATCATTGCGCACTAGCAGGGCAATGGACTCCTTGTAGAGAGTAACTAAACCATCAATGACATCTGATATATTAGGCCCTGGAATCTCACCAAACACTTCATTTTACATGTTGAAATATCGAATTAGAAGGACTGGTTGCAAAGCAATTGCACCACTGCTTAATGTACTCCAGTAATAAACTCCATTAACACAGGTTGAGCACAAGGAGTTTTCCATGCATGAAGGACCTCTATTGTCAAAGCTGCATGCTAAATTTCTCCAACAGTCTTTGCCTAAAGAGTAAACGGCAGCAAACACACGATCAATGTTCCCGTACTCTTCTTGATTCCAATAATTCATAACGTAGACCACTTTGTAATCTTGACTTAATGGATCAAACCCAAAGCCAAATATATGTCTAAAGTGACCACGAGGCATGCTGATTTTGATGTTATATGGTTGAAGTGGCCTAAACTCTCTTAGAGTTGGGTTCCACAGAGCCATACGATTATCAGAACTCAACTTTTTGTACATGAAATATATACCATCGACAGGACCAACGATCTCAGTCAATTGAGCAGGTATCTGTAAATAACTAGGCTTTTCATGCAGGGAAATCACACCGGGCAATATTTTCTCGGGCAGAAGAAGAGAGGTGCTTGATTGTGAACGAATGTCGTGAAAGTGTAATAAAAGACGGGTTGGATTTTTTTCCAAGTGATTGAGGTGTTCTCTAACAAAAGAAGAAGTTGTAATAAGCGAGTACCAATTCTTACGCACACATTTGAATCGTGCAAGAGATTCCACAGGTAGCCTCACTAGAATCTTTGTTACCAAAGCATCTGGCAGAGAGCGGTAATTCTCCATTCTACTTGTTTAATCAAATTTTGATGCAATAATAAGCTGCAAGATGAAACGATAAATTTTATTAGGGTGTAGAATATAATATCCCCAAAAATGAAGCTATATATCTATTAAAAATTAACTACAAAATGTTGATTATTTATCCTGACAAATTAACTGCCTAAGGACTCACAAAATTAACTAGAACATAGATATGATACAAGAAGATGAAGAATATATGTAGAGAAAAGAGAAGGGTCTGGCTATCAGTTAATAACAAGTGAATATAACTGTCTTTGCTGTAAGTGCAGATTTGATTACGCATACCCACGAACAGCTTCAAAAGAAATGAGACACATGCCACGGACGAAACGATAGAAAACAAAAAGGGAGAGTGAGATTCACCTGAGAAGAGCAGATAAAATTGTCACTATTTAAATTGTCATTTTATAATGGAAAAAAGAACTACTTCTATTTTCTTTCACCAAAATTTCAATGTATCATGGATAACTTTCACATTCTACATTAATTAACCACTAAATTTTTATTAATATACCTAGATCAGATGAATTACATTATTCGCATTAAGAACTTTTTAATCAGTTGAACAACATGCACATTTAATTAGAGTACGTGAATTGAGTTAGTCTTATCCAAATTCCCACTCTGCAAAGACTTTTTATTTTCCAAGAAGGCAAGTAGGGTAGGGAAAGTAAGAGTCGCATTCACACATCTTTTGAATCATTCATGTCACATGGGAAAAGTCCTTAAATGATGCACAGTTGGACATGCAGACATTATCGAGTTGTTTGCAACTGCAAAAGCCCAATAGATATTGCTGTAATGCACAGTGATTGGTCAAACTTTGAAAATAATTGTTACTACTAGTATAAATAAGGTCACGAACCCAAATTCCCTCGCACTTAATCTCTAATACTAGGTAAGTCTAACAAATTGCGGAATCATTTAATGAAAACTTAAAATTTCAAAACTTCAGCAACTACATCTACTCAATATGTACAACTCCCAAAACCTGGTGAAATGTAATATATGATGTGTACTTTTTTAGGTACACATGCATTTATCACTTATTATTTAACTTGATCAATAGCGTACGTTATCACTTCAATTTATCACATGACTGTAGTAAATTAGTATGACTTGTTATATACATGGGTGTGTATAACTTTTTTGCGTTTTCTGCGTAATCGGCTCCAAATTTAGACTTGGCATTGATGCATATGATACATAGGATCTGTTACAGGCCAAATAAAAAAAAATGAAAATTATTATTGTCGAAAATTTTGACAGAACTTTATCTATTGAAAAAATCTATCGAAAATCCAGATAAATCTAATGGTGTTAAGCTAATACTCTCTCCATGTCACAACCCAAAACTACGTGACCTGCACCCGGCACACTACCGGACCTGAGCGAACCAAACCATATGCATGAAAATCAATTTAATTGTGGAAGCTCCTTGAAAATTATATTCATTTTCAAGTTAAATGATAAAATATTTTCCAATTCAAAATCACCCATGATGCCTTTCATGATATAATAACAATGAGACTAAGTAAAATAAATATATTTTCATGTATGTCGTGTACAACCCCGAATACAACCTTTCACAACCATCTATGGAGCTTCTATACCAAAGAATAGAATTAACACTTGGGCTAATACTCGACTATCATAAATTAAGAAAACAACATGATGGCTACCACGAAAATAGGGGTGGTGCCTCACCATATACCCCAAGAAGGGAGTCATCCTAGCTCTGACCGCATGCCACGTATCATACCTCATCCTGAAACATGTAAAGTAAGCGGGACTCTGGAGGGCCCCCCAAGGCACTGCAACAAATTTGACTATTGGTGACGAATTATTTTGTCACTTAAAGCTCATATTTCGTCATCAAAAATTTTTTGTGACGAAAATTAATTCGTCAATCATTCGTCCTTAAAATAGGGTCACTAAAAGTATACAAAGACAACTTAGTATTTCGTCGCTAAATAAAGTTATATTAACAACGAACTTTTTTTCTCGTCCCCAAATGCATAGTATTTGTGACGAATTTGTTCGTCAAAAAAAATAAAAAAATTTGTAGTTGATTGTTTGTTTTAGTCACCAACAAGGTTATTAATACTGACAAACAACCTTCGTCACTAACTATTAAGTTTAATCAGTAACGATATCTATTGCCTCTAAAGATATGTATATTTCGTCGTTGAACAAATGTAATTTTGTCAATAAAGATCACCTTTTATATACAAAAAATATTTCGCCCCTGAATGTATAAATTAGTGACAATTTTGGTTTTGTAGTTAAGACTATCTTCTCGTCACTAAATATATTATTTTTACCAACAAAATAAAATTGTCACTATAAATTATCATAATCAGTGACAATTATAAAACTATTATTTTGTCACTAAATGCAATCTATTTATGACGAACTAATGTAAAGTTTTGCCTTGAAAAGTATAATATAGTCGTTGCTAAAAATTACCTATAAAGATAAAAGAAAAAGTTTGTCACTATTTACCTGCTTTTCCTTTAAATCGAGAAATTATCATTATATAAATGGGAAGTAACAGAATAAAACACACAAGGAATCAACAAAAATCTTCATCCATGAACATAACATTAAATACAAACTCTCTCCTTGTTAGTCATTGAAAATTCTTCGAAGTCGTGGCAATGTTTCTCTCTGACCTCTCTCTAGAAAACCTCTCTCTAGAAAACCTAGAAGAAGAACCCTAGCTCTTCTCTTAGACAACCAAGTTCCATTCCATCAACTACTACTCATACGTAAATGCAAGAAGAACAAAACTTAGGGAAACAACAGAATGCAAAAACCACACATGCTCTTAACGGCAAGGACGCAGAAATGGAAAGTTTTGCAGAAAACAAAACAAATGCACAGAGCTCTCAACAGCACTTGAGCTCACTAATGGACATCCCAGAACACTCTAATGGAAAACAAGACCAAAAAATACCTTCTTATCCAAGCTGCAAAAAAACCAAGACACTACTCAAACCAAAAACCACATAACAGTACAAAAATCTATTCTTGGCTTTGATACTTCCAATGAAACGGAAAACATCTTTGATTCGGACAACTTCATACTCATAACTTCGGAGGATAAGGAAAGAATATACAAAAATTGGGAAAATGCTCTAATAATAAAAATATTCGGCAGACGAGTAACTTACCAATTCCTACACCAAAAAAATACATGCCATATGGAAACCTACGGAGCACCTATCACTGATTGACCTTGGATACGATTATTACCTCATAAAGTTCACTAGACAGGAAAACTACGACAAAGCATTACACGAGGGGCCTTGGTTCATCGAAAATCAATTGCTCACTGTCAGGAAATGGGAGCCTAGGTTCATAGCCTCAACAGCATCACTTACCTTCTCAGTTGTCTGGGCTAGATTACCAGAGCTCCCAACGGAGTTCTACGACTATGAGATTCTTCACAAAATAGGAAACAAACTAGGGAAACTTCTTAGGATCGACGCATGCACTACTTCAACCACTAGAGGCAAATATGCAAGGTTATGTATTCTAACACCCATTGAGAAACCCCTTAAAACACACATCATAATAGGAAACCACTACCAAAAAATAGCCTACGAGGGTTTCAATCTTTTGTGCGAGTCATGTGGACGACTAGGACACAATACAATCAATTGCCCTCATGCTGCATCTACTTCCAAGCCAAAACCTGCTACTAACAACGACATGAACATGGAGGTTGATACCCTAACCAAAGAAATAGACCATTGGACAATAGTGACACATAAAAAAAATGCAACAAAAAGATCACTACCTATTACTAACCAAAACGATGAATCTGCCAAGACCATTACTGGGCAACAAGGCATGACAAGATTCAAAAATGGAGAAGTACCAACTGACAACTTACAAGGTCAACAACAGAAACATAGGACCAACCCAAAAAACCTGTTAAACCCAGCGGACAAAAACGAGTATCCTAGCAAAAACCATATCTCAGACAACAATACACTAGACAACCCTATCAATAAGGACCAAATAACTATAGGCAAACCTAGTTGCTACAACATCCAAACGGTACCCCTGACCAAAAGCACATTGGAAAACCAAACACCCCTACCTTTATCAAACATCTCCACATCACAATTAATGCCCCACTTCAATACCCTAGAGCCCACAGAACCTGCAACGAAAAAGGAGCTCAAACCTACGTATAAACCTAGCGGGCAACTTCCTATGAACCAGGAGACAATACTAAAATCTGGAGACTCCTTACAAAACCTAACTACAAAGGACAACTCAATGGACATACACCAAAAACAAAGCTTAGGCAAAGCCCCATCAACATTAATTAGTGACTACAATCATCCTAAGACTAGGCTTCCCATCTCCAAAAAAGAAGACATTACCTCAAATGATCTCCTGTCACAAATCACCCCTACAAAAACAATTGAAAAACTCCTTTCAGACCAAAAAGCTGGTAATCTCATCCCAACAGACGTGTACATCACCCTTATGTCTAACAAGTTGAACTATTTATCTACTAACTCAAAGAAGCCCTCATCAGCCAACCACTCATCTCCCATTCTGCCAAAAACCAAAGAGCAGAACCATGGTCAGATTCCATCACACAAATTACCAACGCAGATACAACAGGTACAGGAGGAATGTTTGGATGAGAAATCAAACAAGAACACCTCACCATGCACACCATGCACCATACCCGCCCATGAACCCTCCGGAGCCAATTATCTACACAACACCACCATTACCAATGAATCATGCTCCACAGTCATGGCTAGATTCGGACTGACAGGTTTTTCCCTCAACTTGAATCTCCAGTTGGAAGGGCGAGACATCACGATTCAGCTGGAAAATCCGAGCTACCTTGCTCAAATAGTGACGGAGGGGCTGAGGATTGGGCTGGACAACGTGGCAAACCACCCATGGCTAGCCTTGTTCAACAACCAAATGCCTCCCCCACCCCACCCCACCTTGGGGATTCACCCA